AGCTCCTGAAAGCCACACTCCCTCTCTGCTGCCTGAACTTTCCATGATTTGTGGACGGGCGCGTTGTCATGGAGAAGAAGGACCCCCCTTGACAACTTTCCTCTGCGTTTTTCCTCGATGGCATCATGGAAATTGTTCATGGTGGTAGCATAGGAATCGCCAGTGATTGTACACTCGTCTGGCATGAACTCAAGCAGCAGTAGTCCCTCGCTGTCCCAAAACACAGTTGCCATAATCTTTCCTGCAGATTTCTGAACACGAAATTTGCGAGGCGTTGGCGATCCCTTGTGCTTCCACTGCATGGACTCCTGCTTGGTTTCGGGATCCCAGTGATGAACCCAAGTTTCATCACCAGTTACTATTCTGGGGAAAAAAAGTTTCCCCGATTTGTTTAGAAAACTCCAAGTTTTCCTTGCAGATGTCAGATCTGTTCTTCTTCTGAGCTGGAGTCAGCATTCTTGGGACCCATCGAGAACTGACTTTGGACATGTGTAATTTTTCATGAATAATGTGAATCACTGTGCCCTCTGAAATCCCCAGTTCATGAGCTAAAACAGAGACTTTGGTGCGACGATCCTCCAGTATCGCACTCTCCAATTTGTCACACATTTCCTGATCAGAAGCCTCCACAGGGCGCCCCGACCTTGGGTCATCTTCGATTGACTCTCTTCCCCACTTAAACTGCTTGCTCCAAAATTTAACTTGGTAATAAGAAGGCGAAGACACACCATAAACGTTAGACATACGTTCATGAATCTCCTTAGGTGCTTTCCCTTCTTTGGTGAGGAATTTGATCACTGAACGATGTTCAACTTTCGTCAAATCCATGACACAGACTCAGGAAAAGAAATCTAATGCGCTACCACTTTGAAGGGACTTGAGCCACTGAGCTGGTATAGTGGTGGGGCACTCACGAGACCTGTCGAGACATGTCACAGCAGGCACAGGCCTGTTGCTCATCCATTTCATATTCAGGTAGATAACTTATTGAGTGGCCCTCGTACATCGTAGCATCAGAATCGATGTCATGCAGAGTACTACGATGAGAACTGCCGTAAAAAGTGGTATTCATAACGTCGACTGAGAGAAATCATTCGAGCAGTCCTGAAACTCCATCCTGAAATTCCGTACTCCTCGTGCTTGGAAAGGTTCATTTTATGACTCCGCTTTGAGCGGCTGTCGGTATTTATTCAGACAACTTAGGTACATGAAACTTCCACAAAATACATTTTGTGAAGTTTATAACTTAATATGAATAATCACGAACCAAGACCATACACAACGGATTTTATATTCGTCAAACACGACGCGTTTTTTTTTTGCGCCACCCGGTATGTACAGTACTACGTGCAGATCAACCTTTGCTCTGAGGCCCATTACTTAGCGTCTGTTCCCTTCGACATGAGGGTTGCTCGACACTTTTATTCCTATGCTTATCTTCTCCAACGCCAAGTATGAGGGGAGGGATGATAACGGATTTTTCCGGAGAGGATGAGTCATGCACTCATAATAACGTCATGTGTTTAGCACCTACTAGAACAACATGTCCTTGAATGTCTAGCAGGTGTCACGTGTGTCTGTGAGTCGGGTCATTCTCACTCTCTTATCGGATCCGGTCTAGACCTCCACAAGTCCCCTAAATAACGCGCGCTCGCGCGCGCGAGTTGAGTCAAAGAAAATGAGAAAGAGAAATACGAGCTCGCATATTGTATAGGGGACATACAGGGTGTCCCATATAGATAGAGCTCCCCTCCACCGTCCAAACCAGAAATGCTGCACATATGTATGATACACCATCGACTATTCTAGGCCACATATTTTAAAAGTCGGTGTGTCCTCGCGCTTCCGAAACCGCCTTGATCCGAGCAGGGTAGGATTCAAGAAGTTGGCGGAACAGGGTGTCGTTCTTGAGGTCTTCGAGGTATCATAGGAACCATCCCTGGTCTCAATGAGCGTCTTCTCCACTTCCTCCTTGATGATAGCTCCAATATGTTCAGCCGGATAGAGGTCGGGGGAGGAGCCGGGCCAGAGAAAAAAGAGAAAAGAAAAAGTCCAGTCCAGAGTTCCGCAGCGGTTCTTGTGTCGCGAGGGCCTTAAAACACGGTGCTTTGTCGCGAAGTTAAGTTACATCAGGCACGCTGATGACGTTCCTCGAATCACGGAAGAAAGTGATGACATGCCGCTGGAGCAAGTTTCAGAATTAAACTCCGTCGCACGTGGCGCCCTCTTCCTTCACCGCCAACATAATCTTTTTCGCCGTGAAGCAAACAAAGATGCCAATGTACGTTGGGCATTGAGGGATCCCACGAAATCGTGGATTATCTTCAATGTCCTTTGGAGAGGCTGCCCATACCCTGTCATTTTGATGGTTTGGACGTCGGATCGCATAAGTGAAAAATTCATGAAATGGGGCAAGATGGAGAGAATCCTCATCATCCCAGTTTTTGAGGAACTCGGCGAACCGGAGCCCTTCCTCATCTGCCAATTCAGACAGGAGGGGCTTCTTGAGAGCAGGAAACGGTTTCAACCCCATCCTGTGGAGTTCCCGGCTCACAGAGAGCTCGACGAGAAGCCGGGAGCTGTGAGCTCCCGGCTTCTCGTCTTTCCTCGCTCTTCCTCCACGATCTTAGCCAACACTCGGACACTTTTCTTTTGTTTGCCGGCCTCGTTCCTTATGATCTCCCTAGAAGTGTCCGAAATGCAGCGACCTTCGATCCCAATAGGAGCAGTGGACATTTCACACTCGTAGGGGCACTTATTCCAGTTAATCTACCCGAAATTTTCGGACCTCTTGATCTCTCGCGCTTCTCGGAAATTGACGGCGCGGATGCGGTCCACAAATCTCAAAATTTCTGAGTCACCACAAGCCACTAGGGAAAGAAAAAGATGTCGTTAGAATAGTCGATGGATGTGCTTTACAATGTGATATCATACATGTGTGCAGCACTTTTGGTTTGGGCTGTGGAGGGGGGCTCTATCTATACTGAATGGGACACCCTGTACAGTATGAGGCAGCAAGGCGGATGTGTGGAAGGGAAAAGGTCAGTGGACTAAAAAAAAGGGGCTCTCCCGCGCTAAGACTCTCTCAGTTTGTGTGCTCCTTTATTCAAACAAGTTTCTTAGTCACAAATTAGTCCATACCAGACCTTCGGGTGGAACACGTGTTGAAGAATGGTAAAGAAAAAAGATACCAGGAGAGAACGCTCTTCCAGCTAAAGATGAATCCTCTTTTTACGTCCACCCAACGATGTTGCCGCGCTTTGGCAGTTAGGTGTGAAGCATTTGGGAAGGTCGGATTTGCCTTCGTCGAGCTTCTGCGCTAACATGAGGGAAATATGTGACGGACCACTTTAACCTAGATAATACTGATTTAAATCTCCCACGTAAGTGTTGCAGCCAAATTGCTCGCGCCCTCTAAAATGCTATGTTTACATTCGGGAAAACGCATGACTCCACAACGAATGGTAAAAAAGCTTCAAATTTAAAGTATTTCACAGAAAACACACGGCGGAATGTTATAATTTGCATATTTTACATCGATGAACATTTCTTGCCTTGAAAAACTAGATGAAACAACATGATATGGAAAATTACAATTAGTCAGCAAAATAAATAGTGACATTACTGAATTGAATCTAACATAAGACGACTTTGTCGTGGAAATAGCATTATACACAAGGGAATACACAGTTTCTCTTTGAGTGCAGAAAAGCCAGTGTGTCATAAAAGTACCAGAACATTTTCCAAAGAAGTTGCGGTACAGCATTAGTACCTTCCGTTCGATGAAGATTAAATAATACAGAACTTAGTCGAAGGCAACCTCACTAAGATCTGCTCTCATAAGAGGAGCTTGATCCTAAGAGTATGAATAGAACGATAGGACATATCCGCCTGCAGAGAAAAATGAGCGGAAAACAAAGTGATTTTCCTTTATCAGGAGTTGCGTTGTTGCTCAGAGTTCGAGGAAACTCCGACCAGAAGACTGATAAGGAAATGTTCGAAGAGAAGCGTACATAGTATGTGGGTGCTCGTGCATTCCTCTTCCTTTTACATCGCATTCTGTGAGGTTTCTCCATCATATGAATGGAAGTATCATGGTAATCATGACATCGTGCTGCAACTTAGTGCTTCTTGCATGCCCATGGTGACACGACTGTGCATCAGCGTTGGCCTAAGCTATGCTTTCGGTATAGTCAGATGGGATAAGTAAACCCTGTTCTTGTTTCCAGTTTTTTTTTCCACCGCGTTAATATTCAACTCTTTCTGCCCATAGTTTATCCCGAGCAGCTGAATGAAGTACCCGTCTATCGTATGAATGAATCCATACCTTCATTAATTATTGCGATGATAAGGTATTAAACGTAAAATAAATTTCCTAGAGGGTCAAAGTGGCAAAAATTAGATTTGCGGCATAGGATAATTATTTCAATCATGTTTTTTGCTTCTCAGGTCATATTCGCCGTCAAAATGACTTCTTATGTCTCCAAGCAGTCTCAAATTCTTATTATACAGGGTGTTCCACTTAAAACGCAACACAGTGTACAACACCTATAAAACAAGACAAACGAGTTCTTTCATAGTTTTCTTTTGCTAGGAAGAATATTACAGAAAATTACTGAACAGCTTCACAGCTGATGCTGGGAATGTCCACCAGCTTCCCGAATACAAGACGATACAAGACTTCATTTTTGTACCGTAGTACGTGATTGTTGTTGGGTTGCGTTTTAAATGGAACACACTGTACATGAAAAACTCTCGGCTTTCTCGAACAACTACTGACAATCGTGGAGTAGCAGAGTTGAGATATCTTTCTGATACTGCTATCTGACGAACCCATCTAAATCATCGGCTTTTTTTGACCAAACTGCATCGGCTCGTATTCGTATAGTTTCATTGAAAGTTCATTCCCCAGTAGAAGAGAGTAAAAGCACACTGATCTTCTTTACTTATTCTCCTCTTATTCATGATATGGCTAACATGTGATGAACTCCTCTACTGTGGAATTCCCAAGGTCTGAATGATGACAGAGACACAGGAAAAAGGGCTCCGTGAGAGACTGATCAAAGAAAGTGATGAGATCCCGAATGAGGATCCGCGGACGTACTTGCTTCCCTTCCATCCCGTCGGAAATGGTCAATACCGATTGGGGGCTTGTGAGCAACCTGAACGAAGCCTGAATGTTCTCCTACTCGGCTTGACAGGATCAGGTCACCTATATTATTGCATAATGCCATTCTCAGGATGAAAATGCCAGGCGGGTTTGATTAAAGCGTGTACTCGTCTTTTTTGCAGGGAAGTCGATGCTAATGGAGGTGATGGCCAATTACGGTTTGGGAATGACTTTTCAGGAGCCCTATCGTTTCCGAGTGAAGAAGGATGATGGACCCACGAGCATCATCACCTCGCACACCTTCTTCACCAGAGACAAGAAGAGGTTCCCCCGTCCAGTAACTCTGATTGATACACGAGGTTACTTAAAGCTGACGCCCAAAGAGGACCAGAATTTGACGGAAGAGATCCGCGCATTCCTCCACTTTAACCATCCGCTGGGCGTCCATGCCGTCGTCTACGTCCTCCCAAGTTCTCAGGTTGTTTATTCTCCCCTCTTCACAGAAATGGAATAGAGAATAATCTGGACATTTTCAAAATATCTTCAACGTTCGAAGTAATGCTTAGCTTCCCCCTCTTCAAATTCAATTAGTACCGTGCACATGAGGCTTTGGTTTAAACACTTATCCTCAATTTAGTTTTGCTCATTTTATCCATATAAATACCTTGCCCGGGTAAGGGTTAAGAAAATTTAAGCATCGGAATAAAGCATTTATGAATTATACTGGGTGGCCCATCCCGCCCGGCACTCGTTAGCGGCAGCGAAGGTTATTGGAAGTGAATGAGCGCGCGTTGTAGATGGTATGATACCGGGTCCACTTTTAAATGGGCCATCCTGTATAAGCTTTAACACTAGAATTATCGGAGCCGACAATTTCACCACTGCATTTAAAGTAGCATCAAGCACTTATTCTGTAACGTGTTTCTTGTTTCATATGCTACTTGGTACGTTCAAAATGTTAACATATTCAAAATGGCAAAATTAGACTTAAAAATGGAATACTGTCGAGGCCCTTAGTTGCCAAACGAGCCAAGTGCATTAAAAATCGGTAAGCAGTCAAAATGACTGTCCTTGTAGTTCTAGTCTTAATTTCATGTTCACACGGTTCCATAATAAAAAATGCGACCTGCAATTGCCAGCTTTGTGCTCAAAGTGAACCCATTTTAGGTGAACTTCAGGCATAACAACGAATGAACTAACCAGCAGGGCTTCAGCCACTACGCATGGGATTTGAAGGGGATGGCCTCTAGAACTAGGCAATTAGCAAAGCGGCTGTCTATATCCGTGCCACCTTTCCCTAGTTCAGAGAGGGAGAAACCTGGACAGATCAAGAAGAAAAGGGAAATTCTAACGTTCAGGGAATAATTCTTTCGTCTGGACAAGACGATAGGACAAGTAGATGCGGCATTTTCTCTCCTCCCTCCTTCTCTATCTCCAAATGCTCCCATACTTATTTCTTTCCCTTCCTTCTTTCAAACATGTGCAAACATAATTCACATGTAATGACACAACATGGGGCTATTTGGCTTTCTCTCCACACTCCACATTACTTATCACTTTTTCCATCTGATTAGCGGACATATTATCGAGCAAACATCCTTTGGGACCGATTTCCATCCCCGTTCGAATACGGCAACTTGCTTTTTTCTATAATGAAACGAATTTTCTCAGTGCAGCAGGAAGTTACTTTTCTTTCTACCATTTTTACGCATCCAAAAACAGATGGGAGCATTGAGAAATGCACTGATAACAAAACACATTCTTGTCTTCTCTATACCTCTCAATTACTGAGAGTCTATTAATGGAAAATGGAAGTATTCGGAAATGATAAAATTGCGGAACTCGACTCACTGGTGTGCCTGTAAAGTCCAAAGATCACCATGTAATCTTGTGAAAAAAATATGATTTGGTCTTGCATTCCTATGTTCGTATAGTTCGCAGGTTTCATATGAAATGGACTCGATTTGAAAGTGACCAAAGAAAACACGAGTCTCAGACAAGGAGAAAGAATAAACCCTCTCCACCCGCCATGAAAACTTAATTTCCATACATTTTGAACTCCAGAAGCTCATGACCTGGCCCTATTCTTTCTTTCTAGTCATCATCTTATGAAAATACGAATTATCTATGGCGTTTAGGTTAACCGCATTTCAGGAAGGCCTGGGAATCACGTTGAAAGTAAGCATTATTCTTTCGCTTCTTTTTTTAAGATTCTCTCTACTACTGCACAAATATTATTCAAAGAAGTGCCAGGTCTTTCCTTGTACTCTCCTGGTACTCATTTCTAGTGTATAACTTAATGGATAAATTTGTATTCTCTATCAACGTCGGTGTTGTATTTCCCTGCTTATCCTCTAACTTGGGGGAATTTGATTTTTGGTCTTCTTTCCGTCTCCTTCACATGAACAGGCGAGATTGACGGCAGAACAGAAAATGGCAATACAAAGCATGGTCCAAGTCTTGGGAGAAAAGATTCAGGGACTCAATGATATTTCCTATCTGTTTTGCACATTCGCGGACGGCAAAAACCTCCCCGTCCTAGAATCCGTAAAAGAGGCCGGATTGAATTTTAAGAAGCATTTCGCCGCGAACAGTTCTGCTTATTTCGCGAAAGAAGACAATGATGAATCTTCCAGCGACGATGACGAGGAGGAAAAGGAAATAGAGAAAACAACTTCAATCAATGGGAAGCTATGGGATATTACGACAGAGAGCATCAGTGAATTTCTTGAGGACATTCAGAAGAACAAACCGATCCCCGTTCAACCTTCCCGTTTTAAAGGAGAAAAGAAAGAGGAAAGAAAGGAGGGCATGGAACCAAGATGGCATCCCCGAGATTCTCGTGCGTTATTAGTATTTCTAATCCCTACAGTACAAATGTGTCTATTCTTTTCAAGATCATTACATCCTGAATTATCACTTCCGGATGCTTTTGCAGGTGAGGAACGGGTATCCCTGATTAACGGTCACGAGAACACCCTTGAACAACTCCGCGGTCGGAACTTCGGACGCAGAGGGGGCTCTCCATCTCGACCTCAGATGGGTGGGCCAATCGGTTGCCGAAATCTGAAGGGGTTCGTACCCAACCATTTCGGAATATTTTTAAAGTATCCAAGGCAACCGAATACTCAATTCGACGTACCGCATTCCTTGAGTCTCTGTCGGAGTAATACTTTTCGTCAGAAATGCATGCTTTCCCATTAATTCTCCCAACGATGTAAAGAGTTCTCATGAGTCTGAACTCAATTTAGAGACTTACTTTTAGTACAGGTGACATTTTAAATTGTAGCTGTGAATATAAGGTTATGAAAGTTATTTTAATTTGCAGATAATTTTTTTTTCCTGCAGATGGATTTCAGTCATTTTCTACGAAAAAGGCTCCTAAATCCAAAGACCACTTCCTGGTGGAGGAGTATTATCTATATTATTCGCGTGATTGCGAAGTTTTAAGAACTATATATTTGCGACTACTAATAACTCATATATTTGCGACTACTAAGTTGGAAATGTTGGAATCGTATAGTTTTTTTTGGCATTTAATCATCACTTGGCGGGCCATCATATACCATAGTAATTTAGGAGGTGTAGCTTTTCAAAATTCACCCTTCAATTTCCATAAATGATGGATATACAGTATATTCATGGATAGAGTTGCAGGTTCTTGAACAACTACAGCCCAGCACTACAACACTACAACCCTCGGAATCCGTCGAAAAGCTGTTTGAAACCATTGCAAATTTCCCTAGAGAGCAAAGGGTTCCGGGCCGAAGAATGCTATGAAGGAAAACAAATCGAAGCTCTAGGATAGGTTATTGACGTTGTGCGACCAGTTTCGTAGGAGGGTCTACGGCCGGCCCAGAGCACCAACAGCTATTTCAACCAGATTCTGCAGTCAGCCAAACTTTCTTGAACATTTATATATAAATTGGAAGTACTCTCAATTCCAAAGACGATTCAAACTTTATATACCGACTTTTGACGGCTACTATACTCTCGTATATCATAAGAGAATTGAGTCCAAGATTCACTTATTAACGGCCTAAAAAGTTCCCTCCGATTTTGATTCATTTAAAATTTATTCCTCTTGAATTATCGATGAACCCTTTTCATCGGACAGATCGTGGGTGCTGCAGTGGAAGGAACTATTCTTCGCCATTGTCAGCGTTGGTGTAGGTCTGTTCCGTCGGATATTCGCTTCTATGTTCTCAATACGTATTATGATGCCCGAGAATTCTTACGATCATTATTTCAATTTTTTTCTTCGATACTAATTTGAATTTCAAATTCAACTCCCCTGTGCATTTCAGCAAAACAACCAAGTAAAAGGTAATTTTAAAAAGATTTTGAAGTAGTGGATTTCTGAACCTCTGGATGCCACTTTTAAATTTTGCTGTCCTGAAGAAAAAATAATAAATCAAAATGGTTGTGCTTATAGCTATTTTTTCCACTAGGAGAAGTCTACTAATAAAAAAAAGTGCAGCTATCTGGAAACCTTAGGCATTTATGAGGCAGGTACACCAGCTGGTTTTTTTTCTAAATGCTCAGTTTAAGATCCCAACTGGAATATTCCAGCTGGACCAAATCTGTAAATTCGGACCATTTCCAGCTGGCAAAGAGCTGGAAAATAGTAGGTACCAGTTGTTTTTTTAGCTGGAATGCAGATGGTTTTAATAGCTGTTTCCAGCTGGAAATTTTCCCGTTGGAATTTTATAAAGAGGACCCTACAGCTGGAATGTAGCTAAATTTACAGTTTAAAATCAGCTGTTCCTGTTGATGGACCTCCGACAAAAATAGTTGAAGAAAAGACTCTCATTCAGTTAGTTATATTGCAATTAGGAACAACTCTGGAGTTGACTATTTTCCAGCTGTTACCCAGTTGGAATGGGTCCGAATTTCCAGCTGGCGTCCAGCTGGAAATTATAGCTGTTTCCAGTTGGGATTTTAAACTGGGTGTCTCTACCTATCTTACAAGCATTCGGTAATTACGTTCGCATTTGTCTGTCCCTTAACGACACGAGCTTTTCTTCGAAAGCACTTGAGTTCCATTTTCGCCGATGACGTAGACCAGGCCTGCTGTACCATTTCCGCCCTTTCATGAACACTTCAGAGTTTTAATGAGCAGGGCATTTACTACGCATCACTTGAAATACATTATACACGAGTTTCTTCTCACATGAGGCAGTTTCTTGGCGACCTTTGAGTTAGGCCATGCTTGAGTTTTCCTTCTATATCTGTATTGAGTATTGTATAGTTTCTTACAATAAGGGGCAGAGTGATGCCGAAGAGAAGATATGAATTGGGAGTGTTTTGTCGCCAAACAGGGTTGAAGGACGTGGAGTGGCTGAGGGAGAAGCTTCCACCCTTCCTGAAGAAGTATGAGGAACTCATCCTCTCCATCGTCACCTTCCCTCGAAGGTCTCCCCCTCTATTCTCAAACCTTGTCTTATCTGTTTGACATAGAAAATGAAATTCATCAGCCTTATTGCCCTATCACCAGGAAAGTAGAGCATCTCATGAGGTACCTTGGGGGCAACTTCATTAGAATTCGTCGCTGGGTCCCATTCCAGGCCACGCAATCCGAGTCCAAAGCATACATTCTCTCATCGACGGAGAGAAAGAAGAGGTAGAATTGAATACATTAAAATAAATATATATATAAACTCGTATTTCAATGCCACACCTGGTGTACTATTAAAATATTGGGTTTGGTAGTAGTTAGGCAGTGTGAATTGCACGTGTTGCCCTCTTCCGAGGTATTTTCTATGTTCTGATGCAATATGGAATTATTATATTGATCAATGAATATCAGGAAAATAAACCTCCAGGAACAAACTGGTTCTCCATTATGGTTTTACTATCATTTGGAAATTGAGACCAAGAAATGAGGCTCCTCAATGCTCATTATCACATCCACCCTACAAACTTTTGCTTACAGGTCCCATGTGCTACATGTTCCATTGTCTCTAAAGCTAAGCAAGCTAAGAAAGCAACATTTAGCAACTTTAAGCATTTATGAATATAAACTCAACTGCGAATTCTAATATGAAATAAATGAAAGCCCTTTCATAAGCCCGACAAGAAGATCTATGAATGATTGCAGGACTAAGCTGTGGATTCCTCCTCGTGTCCTAGGATGTATGATGTTATAGTAGAGTAGAGGGGAAGAGTCTCCCAGTTCCCACGCAGAGTGGCCATAGCTGGTCACTTTCCCTTTCGCGTGCTCGTCCTGCCCTGCAGCAGTACGCCGTGAACCTTCAGCCGGATAGCACGTGGGCGCGCTGAGTGCGTCCCGACCCTACAGCAGGCCAGCTCAGTGGGCACGGTGTGTGCCTCGTACAGCAAGCTGGACGGTGTAGTGAACTTTTGTGAGTTCATCCCGAGCGGACGACCTGGACTACGGTCGGCGGACAGGAATCAACGGATACGACCGTCAACGTATCTGGACGAATTACGCGCGAGACCTCCCTACGAACGTGAGACTGTTCTTCCTTATGTTTCTTCTTCCATACTTACTCCATTAATTGTCAAATAAATCATGTACAGTTCAGTTGTTAACGTTGATCTAAGGACATACCTTCCCTCTCTACTTGGAGTCAGCAGATCGAAGGAGAGAGACGCTTCTGCCTTGCTAAATTACCATATAAAGAACATGCAACCTTTTTGAATATCAACTGACCGTATTGGCTCTGATCCCCATATGTAGCGAGTATTCGTGCCACATCTCCTGTGACCCCCTGGGGTTTGCTACAAGGCCAACAACATAAATCACAGAAAAAGCTGAGATCGGCACAATTTGAGGGAATCAACTGCTCCACAATTGAAGCGAATAAATCGTAGAACACACATCTATACGGACGCCTACTTTCACGATACTGCCTCGATACTGCGTAATCCGATCAACTTCCAACAGATGGCGGGTGACCAGGCCATCCCAACCTCGTTGGGTCGGTTTCTCACCGCCGGCCACCTCCTGCCCGACGAGACGCGGATGAATGCCGTCGATGTTCGGCGGACCCTCAACTAGCCATCCCTCTCTGCTGCGCCCGCCACGATATCGCTCAAGCCGACAGAGGCCCACCACCGGGCCGCAACAAGTGTGCTACCTGGGGAATGACCCCAAGTAGCACGTAGGTGGTGGGCCACCATCTACATCATGGGAAGAGAGCTGGGGCAAGGCCCTCCAGAAGGCAGGCACGTGAAGCGAAAAATCCATGCGCGCGCAATGTATCTGAGACATACTCGTATCTAAGCCGTCTCCTTCACTTGCCTTCCTGCAGCGAACGCTTGTTGATGATTCTCAAAAAATTGCTCGCTCTCTCATTCATGATGCCCCAGAATTGACAACATTTCGTATTCGGACCGCTTTGAACAAGGCCTCTGCTACCTTTGCATAACGTGCTAGGCCTACAAGAATATGTCTTTCGAGACCATAGTTTGATAGAAGGATACGAAATGCGGCAATGCTCAGTCAATACTGGGACGCACTCTTTAGAGAATCGCGCATTGAGAAAAAACGTGTAGAAGCGGCAGCCAAATTTGTATTGTTCGGAGGTGTAACCATACTTGGGGTAATTCCAAGAACAGGGCCCCACCCATAACATTTCAGAGTTCCCAAAGATCTTTACTGACCTGCAGCATTCTGTCATGCCAAATACAACCTGCCCAAAGCTCAGGAAAATATTGCGGACCAAAATCATCCAATTTGCAAAACTGAGATCGAAGTGTCGTATCCTCCAATCCGACATATCCTAGCTAAACAAAGAACTGAAGACTCGGGAAATATTGGATGACACCTCGTAGTCACTAGTCAAATATATTTAAATTGAGATCATCTCTGGTCATTTCTCCCCTGCTTAGATGCATCTTCTTAAGGGAGGGGAAAGGCCCAAAGAATGGGAATCCAAGGCGTTGGCACAGGCTGTATGCCTCAGAGCCTTGTCCCCTCTTCTCAAGCGATTCAGGTACCCTACACTTATATCCATTTATACCAGGGAATGGATCTGGCAGCAAAGAACACGCGCATGGAAGTGGGGTCTGTACAATTATACCCCACTCAGAGGCTTATCATTTCGCCACCGCAGCCTTGCCTGATTCTGTATTTTATATATTTCACCAAGAACATAAATTAATGTTCGATATTATGCCCGAAAAAATATAACTAGAGCGATCGATAAGAGGAAAGGCGACAGGGGTTCAGCCGCACGCTACTTCACGCACCTTCACGTGCCGCGCAGGTATCTGAGACCCCTCCGAGCATAGTGCCTCCGAGCTGCCAGGCACGTGAGCACTCTGGAGGGCCTTGGAGCTGGGGGCCCTCCACCAACAATAGGTCGTGGGCCAGGAACTGCATGTCGTACTTCCCGCCACGTTCCCTCCCCGCAGAAATCCGCCAGTGTAGTGCCTGGGCCTCTTATGGTTCACCACTTTTGCGCTACTTGGGACACATCTAATGCTTGCAAATGAGCATATGCATGCTTTAAAGCTACTGAAGTCCCTTGTAAGAAATTATATAACGAAGGAGGAATGCTTTGAAGATTGCACAGCTTTTGGCTGGCAGTCAACCACAGTGCCATAGCAAGGGGTGTGCGAGCGGTGCCTCTATACAGGGCGCCGAACTAAGGGGGGCACTGATTGGCTGCGAATTAATAAAAAAAAATGAATAAAACTTGAAAAAAGGCAAATTATAATGAATTTAACTAAATTAAACGTAGAAATTATAATACGTCATGTACTGTTGATGCTGGGGAAGCTGGTGAGGTATAGAGGCGGGGGGGAGGCTCTGGGTTGATATCTTCCACAAGGCGCCATATATCCTCGGTACGTCCCCAGGTAGCACAACGCTGGAGGGCCACGCGTTATCTGGGAGACGTAGGCGATGGCCCGCCAGCTACGACACGAGCGGCATGGCACCCTTTATGGCACAGTTGTAGCCAGGGTCCCGCTACTCGACAGCTCGCTGAAGGCCCTTTATGTGCTGTCCCCTGGGTACCACATCGCTGCTGGGCCGCTCGCTACGTTTAGGGAGGATAGTTGACGGTCCATCGAAGACGAAACTGGCAGCATGACACGATTTATGTCACACTTGGCGTCAGTGGCCCATCGATCCAACAGGCTGATGATGCTCTCTGCTGGGAGTCCCTTTCCAGGAACCCCTTATTTTCAAATCCGCAGTGAATGTTCCCGTGACCATCCTCTTAAAAGTGAGGATGCATAGACAGGTTTATCTTTAACTTAATTCCTAAAAAACTATCATTTTAAATTAAAGTAAATAAGTTCGATGAGCTTTAATCCAACTACACCTACTTTTTAAATTTATTGTTGATAGATCACTTCTCCTTTCAGCCCTTCTGTCATAATCACAAAATAGGAAGGCATTTTCATAGATATAATTGTCTTTGAGATAAAGTTATGCTACATAACTATTGTCATTAATCTTGGAGCAATTTAGAATGGTATGAGAGGATTTAAAGCGACTAGGCTAGCTGCAGCAACTCCTGAGAATCTTGAGCAATGAAAAAAATATCACAAAAATGACACAGGCATCTCAAAGGAGCTCATAAAATGCAACTGGTCCAGAATACAATTACTATCTGAGCAGTGCAGCTTTCCACAATTTACTTAGTGCCCTGCTTTACCAATGAATACTGAGGATGTAGGGTAGAAGTATCATTCAATCATTAGCAGGCACCTCTTTGTAGACAATTTAATGAAAGCAACAGATAAGAGATTGCTTGATTGAATAATTAATGCTTGGAAAAAAAAGAATGGAAAAAGTCCCTATAGTGTGTCCCACCAGGTACTGAAAAAAAAATTAGATCATCTCACCTTCAATCTCTTTATGTAGCCCCTGTTTCCATCTTCTTCCTCCTGCGAAGGTCCCTTCCCCCCTCCCTGTCCGATGCATTCTTTACGAATTTTCGGATGCTCTGTTCCACAAAGGTGAAACTTGGCACACGTATAACACTGTACTATAATGACTCGACTCCCTCATAAGTCGAATCATGGTGCATCCCATCCAGGCATAGCTCTTGGGTGGGTCGGCTTTTCCAAACATGGTTTTTCACCAGCGGAAAGGGCAAACGTATAATATTGAAACGTTGTGGGCATGTAGTTAATTGAGGATGGATTTCGGTATTTAAAAAAACGGTACTTTTCGATTAAAAAGGCTCAGGGCACACATTTTGCAAAAGGCGTATTTCACGAATTTTCTGATCCAGCAAAACAGAGGTCGCATGAAAGTTGAAACTTGGCAAAGAAGTACCTGATGGATAGCTGAGTAAAGAAAAAATTATATTTTTATTATGCATGGACGATAGTGAGGAGCTGACTGACTGACTGACTGACATAAGTAGCTATTCGCATGCTGAGTTCAGGAAAAGTTCTACTTTGGTGATGCATGCCATAGGGGCACACCTTTTCGGGGAACATATTTTCAAATAGTTTTCTTTGCTTCAAACAGAGACACATGGTAAGCTGAAACTTTGCAAGAACGTGACCGTTGATGCACTGAGCTCAAATGTCAAACGTCAAATTTCCAAAATATTTTTGGGGTTCATATTTCTTGGAGACGTAACGTTTTCAAATAATTTTTCATATCCTACCGAATCAGGGAGAAATAGAAAAGTAGCTGGCGCACGCATAACGGACGTGATGTTGATTTAAGGAAAAATTTAACTTTTTTTGTGCGTCTCCTCAGAGCACAGCTTTTGGGTGGGTCGCTTTTCCAAATACATTTTTTTCCGCCAGCATAAAGGGGAAACGTATAAGGCTGAAACTGGGTGGCATGGAGTTCCCTCAGTCTACCTTTCAAAAGACAAAAAAATTTT